TAGCTATAATTTTGATACTTTTAGCTACAGTTCTGCTACTTGTAGTTTGCCTTTTTAAATTAGTTTTAGCTTTTTTTAGCTTTAGCTTGGCGCTAACCTTTTGACACTTGTAGCTATTTTTCTACTTTTAGCTATCATTTTGATACTTTTAGCAAACCGTTTGTCACACTTAACTTTTTGATAGCCTTTAGCATCTATTAGCTTCTAGCTGGGCTTTTTCAACCTTTTAGCTAACCTTTTTGCCTTTTTTGCTTCAAACGTATTTTTGCTGCTTTTATCTAGCTTTTTATTGTATTTAGCCTTTAGCTGAGCTGTTGCTCTCTTAACTCATGTCTTGCTACATTTACTATACAGCTGTAGTATTTTGATCCTTTTAGCTTTAACTCAGCTTCTTCAGCTCTCTGTCTTTTCTCTTAATGTGTAATTGCTCTCGTTTTAGCTGCTTTCTCTCTGTATTAGCCGATCAACACGTCGTCCCTTCGGCTCATTAGTGTGATGGAAGCGCAGTCGCTTTGATTTTAGCCTCTCGTGTTTTCCTTCCTAATATTTTTCTTCTGAAAAACAAATAAAAAGCAGCTGAAGTGGAAACTAATGCGAGTTCCTCGTGAATCCAGAACTCCGTGTTCCTCCTGCCGGTAATTCAGTTTCCCGTCCCCCCAGCTGCGGCTGAGAGTTCTTTAAAAACTCGTTTTCTTCGGCGAGGTGAGCAAACCCCTAAAACCAACGACCCGCGAAATCAGAAGCACCTCCTCCTCTTCATCACCACGAGCGGGAAAAGGTCAGGAAGGACGACGACGAGGAGCTGCGGCGTGTTCGGGGGAAACCAGGCGTGGGAAGGAGCCCAGTGCATGCTGGGATTGTGTGATTTTAACATGAAAGGAAACGTGTTTTTCACTCTGCCTCCTTAAAAAATAAAAGTCGGGCGTCTTCGCGGCTAAAAAGATGCAAATTGTCGACTGGTTTCACAACAAAGACCAAAGTGGGACGAGCGCTCGTGTCCCGCAGCGCCGCCGACCAGCTATTTCCTCTTCAAAGCAAATAGAACTAAATTGATTCTTTCCCGTCTTCTGCCGAGCTTCAAAGAGTCCGGTTCTCTCTCCGAGGCCCGGTAACCGGAGCCGGTCCGTGTTGTGGGTCTGATCCATTCCCCGCTGAACCAGGACCTCTTCTCAGATTAATTATCAGTTTGTCCTCAACGAGGTTTTCATCATTCATCAGGAACTGTCTTTAAAGGGAAACCAAACGTAACCTTCCATTCAGGATGAATAAAAACTTGTAGTTACTAAAACGACCGGTAAATGGGACTCGAAGAGCTAAAAGGTGAAGAGCGGAACCGAGCCCGGTATTTCTCTGGAACCGTCTGAATAAAGAAACAAAAATTAAATCATCAAAGCAACAAACGGACTTCTGAACCTAGAAGACAAAAACCACAACCGTGTTTCCTGTTGATGAGCAGACAGGAAGCAGGCGTGCTGATTGGACAACTCTGAGCAGGTGTGTTCTGGTCCTGAGGTCACCTGGAGGAGAGCTGGTGGCGCTCGTTCAGATGTTATTTACACGTTCTATCGTCTCCTTTAACCCGAGGGAAACCGGACCAGCGCTGATGGAACGATGTTGCTCCAGCCCTTGAGGTTGTAAAACTTCAAGCTGATTTATTTAGTTGACAAACCCTCGTTTGAACCATTTTTGGTTTTAAAAATGTCCAAACCGTTTGTAGATGTCAGAGATTAACAAACGGTTAAAATATATAAATGTTTAAATTTTCAACGAGCTGGAAAAGAAAAACATTTATCAGGTGTGACGCCAAATAAACGAGACCTTCGTCTTTTCTGGAGTCCCAGTAAGTCTCGGCTGCACCAGCTTGTTTACTTCCTGACGCCACACATGAAAGTTGGGCCATCATGCTTTGTTTGTGTGTCTGTTAGCAAAATATCTTATAAACCAGTGGAGGGATTTCAGTTGAACCCCCGGATGAACGTCTACGACTGATCGAACGCTGGTCCTGTGCTTAATTTTTCCAGACATTTTGTGTAATCGAACCCCTGCACACTTTGTGCTCAGATGATGTGTTGAGGACTCTCAGCTACTACCTCACCACATTTCAGCTCAATATCTGTACGAGCAGTGGCGGCCATCTTGGATCAGATCCAGAAGTTCTGCATGTTCATCCAGCGATGAGCGTTTTGTTAATGTTCTACTGGTTCGTGAGATACTTTAACAGAGGAAGTCACATGGCTGCCCACGACAACATTTAGATTTTATTTTATTTTTTTTAAAGTGCCAATTTAAATTTAAAGTATAAAATGTAGTTTAGGTTTTTGTGGATAGTGTTTTAATTTCATGTAAACAAGTTAAAATGAAAAGAAACTCTTAATTATAGTTTAATTTATGCTAATTTAATTTAGCTCTTTGTTTGTTTCCTCTCCATCTTTGCGGGGTTTACCCCCCGCCCCCCCCGTGAATCTCCTGTTTCCGCCCCTGGACGTTGTCAGATTCTGCTGCGCGCTCACGGAGCAGAACCCGGACTCTGATACCCGAACCTTCTGGGGTTCTGATACCCGAACCTTCTGGGTTCTCCCTCACGGATTCATTTGGGTTTTCCTCTTCTCGGTGCCGCTCGGCCCGGAGGACACTTTGGGTCCAAACATGAACCAAACGGCCACCGTATCCCACCAGGTGAAATGCCAGTCCACGAAGACCATCAAGGTAAGCGCTGGTTCTGGTTCTGCCGGGTTTTGGTGTCGCTGTGCCGCAGCAGCTGCGATCCAAACTTCTGGGCTGGTTCTGGTGACACCGTGTCTGCGCACTGACGCACGGTCCGGGTCCTGCACGATCCGTGTCGCCGAACCTCCGGGGTGAAACTGGGCAGAACTTGAGTCTGAACCGGGTTTTCTGGACCAGGCTCGGAGCTGCTGTTGGTGCAGCGGAGACTTTTCATTCATATCACGTCCTGCTCCTTAGAACCGAACCCGAACTGCGCTCACGCTCGTTTGGACCGCGGGAACATCTGGAAACATCTGTGTTCAACTTGCCCGGTCCAAATGCCGGACCGCAGACCGGTCCTCGGGGGGTATCTGAAGCATGGACAGGTGGAGGGTCTGGTTCTGATCCAGAACCGCAGCTTCTGTCCCTGTTTGAACAGGTTTGTGGGACTCGGTTCCGTCCCTCAGAGTCCCAGCAGGGACATTCATGGGTTTTTATTCTGGAGTTCATTTAGTGAAGTCAGGATCCAGAGGTTCTGTTGTCTCTGAGGCTCTTCTGGATCCTGGTTCTGATGAGCCACCCAGAGCACAAACTGTCGGATCATCTGCAGCTGAATGAACTCTGGGTTTGGACTGGGCTTTCCAACCTGTGGCTCTGGGGCCACATGCGGGTCTTTGGTTCCTCTGCAGCGGCCGTTTGATCATAAAGGTGTAAATGAACACGTGATCTGTGCTGAGCAGGTAAAAATATCTGGAGTGACGTCGAATGAGGTCAGATAATAGTTTGAATGTTTAAAAACGTTAAATAAATAAAAAATAATAAAGGTCTTGGAGTCGATCTAAAGAACCAGTTCTGTCTCTTGCTGCAAAGGTGGATGAAATATTTAGTTTTGGGTGAATCAAATTAGTTTCACCGATGAACGTTTGATTAATTAAACTGGTGACGAAAGTCTTCAACTGGTTCCTTTGGGGGTTGTGACAGAAATGCATTTTATTCCTAATTTAATTTTGAGATACCTGAACACAAAATGAAAACTATGTTTACAGTTTTTATTAATTCGTTGTTGTTTTTTTCCCCATGCAATCTAATAAAAATGCTGAAATACCAGTACCACACCACCAGGTGGCAGCAACATCCACAATGGCACCAAATCAAATCGCAGAAGAAAAACTCACAAACTGTTAATAAAATCTACTCTGATTGGGAAACCGGACATTCATAGGTCAGCGTTCAACTCTTTTGGCGCTTTACGTCTGATTTATATTGAGTTGTAAATAAAAAACATTTATAGATTAGTTTTGTTTGAATTTTACGTCGGGATAGCTAAATGTCTTCAGGTCCGTGTGAGATGTTTGAATTCAGAACTGTTGAACGCAAAGAGGAAACGTCAGAATTACGAATAACGTCTAATAATATTTTGTCGGATAAGGAAGTTGGTGATGGTAACAACTAAACACAAACAACAAATTAAAGTTGATGTGAAAAAAACTGTAAATATTTCTAAACCACAAAGCATTGTAAATATATTGACTTTAAACGGCGCATTAGTTTCTAAAAGGTAAATTGGATAGTCTGACGAAGTTTAGTCCCGCCCCCTCAGCATAAATAAACATTTAGTTTTAATATACGGTTGACGCATTGTTAGGCCGGTCGCGATAAACAATAAATCAATTAATCGCATGATAAATGAAAACTATAAACCTCGTTTTCATTTATCGACTTTATCGTTTCTTCTTGCTTGGTGTGACAAATGCTACGCTAAAGAGCTCAAACCACGCCGAGCATCCGCCATCTTGAGAACCGAAGAAAAGGAGGGACCGCCCATGTCACGTCAAGGGTCCTCCCTCCCATTTTTCTTAAAGAGACACGCTGCTCTCTCCCTCACTGTCCATCCTTAGGTTCAAACAGTCTTATACTGCCATCCAGTGGTCAAAAAAGATACTACATGCAAAACAAACTAACCAACATTTCTTCTTAAATTTGACAATAATTACTAATTATTGTAAAATTTCAAACAATATTATCGTTTATCGCAATAATTTCCGAGACAATCAATCGCCCAGCAATATTTATCGTGACAGGCCTACGCATTGTTAAAAATATTCCTAACAGTGTTTTCTTCTGACGGTTTTCTCCGTTATTAACAGTTTCAGCACATGATTAAAGTTTAACGAGGTCAAGACGAATGGAAACAGGGTCAACGATAGAAACATCTTTCTTGTTTGTTTGTTTGTTTCTAGGACACAAAGGTATGGTTGGTTGTGTAGAACTGGCATTGTTCCTGAAAAGACGTCTTGTCCACATGGATCCAGCCTGGAAACGTTTTAAAAACTCAACTTTGGAAAAAAAACCTAACTAGTTAATTTTCTCACCGTCGAGTGAAATCGTCAGAAACCTGTTCAAAACGCAGCAGCGCCGCATGAACTGGGTCTAAATGTGTCACTATGACTAACGAGATATAAAATAATCACATTCACTCCTTAATTAGCTCGCGGGTGATTTTTAGATGTTCCAGGAGCAAACAACGTTAAAAAACTGCGGTTTGTACCGGAGAGTTGTCTTATTTCTGTGTTTGGACGCATCGGAGCAGGACGAGAACAGACCTGTGAATAACAATCCCATTAAGGAGGCAGTGGAAACCTGTTGTTGTTCAAGCTGCCTCATTGTCCTTCCTGTCGCAAGACTTACCTGGACCTAATGGAACCGAACCTCCGCCGGCGTTGTTAAACCCACCTCGTTTCCCACAGCCTGCAGAGTGGGACACACTCTAAAATCAGGAGCCTCATTTTGTACAAAAATAAATTCTTGTTGCTCGTTCTGAATCCAGGATTTTACCGGAGAGGACGGGACTTTCTCCACAGTTATAAATTATTTTGTCTTTGTTTGTAAGACTCGATGGTCCCCGTTGTGTTCTGTTTTAAAGTAAAGGAACATTATCTGTTAACACAAGAGATGCACAATATTGGATTTTTGACCGATATGACGATATATTAAAACTTACTTGGCCGATAACCGATATTTTTTCCCTAGACCTCCTTACAGAGACTACACAGCTTTCTCTGCTGTGGAATTCAAATACTACATTACTCTTCATGGTCTTTGTCAGTTTGGCCTGCTACTTAACAGTTTCTTAAATTAAAAATTAACTTAACAGATTTTTTTATATTGGTGTTATTTTGATGGAATGGCCAATGTCCGATATTTAACTTTATCGGCCAATACGATACCACGCTGATAATATTGTGCATCGCTAGTTAGCATCGCTGTTTGTCTTACACAACTCAAATGTGTGACCTGTCACAAAATGCAGTTTAAAATGTGCCGAGTTCATTTTGACCAATTTCGACTTAATCCTCGGTCACACATGTCGACTTTCAGCTGAGTTTTCTCCTCACAACGGAGCTGTTCTGTATTAAGAGGCATAAAAACCAAAAAGCCCTCATCAGTTCGGTTAAATCCTTTAACGAGGATCTGTAGGAGGGCAAATCTGGTGCCAGCTGCCGGGGCTGAATCCAGCTCCGGTTGTGCCGTCAGACGGTGGATGGCTCGGTAAATTGGTGTTTCGTGTCTACGTCTGCAAACAGAACCTGTTCTTGCTCTTCGCAGCATGTCTCGTCTCTTGACGTATTTAATTCAGTCAATCATAGCCGGAGCTGTACTTTTCACTTTGTGCTGATCCAGCTGTAAACATTAATGGAGGCGACGAACACCCGGAGGCTCCGGTTGCACCTTCAGCTCCCGGTGAACCCGTCCCATATGGGGTGCTGTTTTAAAGTTACAGTCAAAAATTAACAGCAGTATTTTGGTTTATTTAGCCTTTCATAAGAAGAAAAAAAAGATTTTCTTTCACTGTCGTATTTTCACCATGTTATTCATACATTTATAAATGTCATAGTTCCACACTAAATATTTAATTCACAACCTAAATATTTAGTTTACAAACTAAATACTTAACTTGCAAGTTAAATACTTAGCAAGCTAAATATTTAGCTCCACCCTAAATATTTAGTTTACAAACTAAATGTTCATGTCCAAGATAAATGTTCATTTTACAAACAAAATATTTAATTTGCAAGTTAAATATTTTGTTAGTGAACTAAATATTTAGGTGTAAATTAAATATTTAATTTCAAAGCTAAATATATATTTTCATAACTAAACATTTACTTTTCAAACTACATATTAATTGTCCAAACTAAATATTTAATTTACAAATGAAACATTTATTTTTTTTAAGCTAAACATTAAATTCTTAAATATTTAATTTGCTAACTAAATATTTAGCTCAGACCTAATTATTTTCCAAATGAAACACTTACTTTTCAAACTAAATATTTATTGTCCAAACTAAATATTTAATTTACAAACTAAACATTTAATTTCCAAAATAAATATTTAATATGCTAACTAAATATTTAAGTCTGACATAAATATTTAACTTGCTAGCTAAATATTTAGCTTAAGAGTTAAATATTTAACTTGCAAGTTAAATATTTATTGTAAATTAAACATTTAGCTTGGACATAAACATTTAGTTTGTAAACTAGATATTCAGTGTGGAGCTAAATATTTAGCTTAAGAGTTAAGTTAAATATTAAGTTTGTAAATTAAACATTTAGCTTGTACATAAATATTTAGTTTGTAAACTAAATATTCAATATTTGTAATTAAATATTTAACTTGCAAGTTAAGTATTTAGTTTGTAAACCAAATATTTAGCTTGTAAATTAAATATTTAGTTTGAAACTATGACATTTATAAATGTATGAACATGGTGAAAATATGACTTTGAAAAGAAAACTTTATTTTTTCTTATGGAAGGCTTAATAAACCTAAATATTGCTGTTCATTTTTGACTGTGTAACTTTACAAACGGCACTCCATAGTCCCAGAGATGAGTGAAACAACCATGGATCATCGTAAGGATTAAGTACTTTCAGAACTCCTGAGAGAGGCACAAACCCCCGTTAATCTCCGCGTGGCCCGTATCATCTGCCACGAGG